GAGTGTCTTTGATACTAGTTTTCTAATATTTTGGAGTGTCTTTGAAATTACTTTCTAGTATTTTAGAGTGTGTTTAAATCTAGATTTTAGGATTTTGGAGTGTCTTTGAATTTAGTTTTCTAGTATTTTAGAGTATCTTTAAAACTAGATTTTTAGTATTTTGGAGTGTCTTTGAAATTACTTTTCTAGTATTTTAGAGTGTGTTTAAATCTAGATTTTTAGTATTTTGGAGTGTCTTTGAATTTAGTTTTCTAGTATTTTAGAGTATCTTTAAAACTAGATTTTTAGTATTTTGGAGTGTCTTTAAAACTAGTTTTCTGGTATTTAGGAGTGTCTTTGAAAGTTTTCTAATATTTTGGAGTGTCTTTAAAACTAATTTTCTAGTATTTTGGAGTGTCTTTGAAACTAGTTTTCTAGTAATTTAGAGTGTCTTTAAAACTATATTTTTAGTATTTTGGAGTGTCTTTAAAACTTGTTTTCTAATATTTTGCAGTGGAGAATTAGTAATTCTAACATATTCCAAAGAAATACTATCATACAAGACCGAGGATGAGAAAACTCACTTTGCTGAATTATTATTCACTAACTATTAACCAATGCAGAATTTGTTGCATCTTAAACCGAGTTTTAAATTATTCATCATTGGTTTTCATGACATGTGTCCTCTCTTAGTTTCGACGTGTCAGCATACTATCTCCCGGGGATGCTAATTAAGTTTCACGGAATGTTTAAGTCCGCTCCGCTTAAATTAACGAGTAAGTCCATCCTAAGTGGCCATTGTAGTTCTATAATATCGTTAAATAATCTGTACGAGTTTCGGGATAAAGTTCTGTGAAAGCTTTCCCAATTTTCTCACCGGATTATTCAATGAGTTTGCTGGGATTCTAAACAAGGCATTTCTATCCAGATGTAGTGAGTATGTTGGGATCCTAAATAAAGCATTTCTCACCTGATTCAGTGAGTCTGCTGGTAACCTAAACATGACTTTCTCACCTGATCCAGTGACTCTGATGGGAACCTATACGAGGCTTTCCTCACTTGATCCAGTGAGTCTGCTGGGATTCTAAACAAGGCATTTCTATCCAGATGCAGTGAGTATGTTGGGATCCTAAACAAAGCATTTCTCACCTGATTCAGTGAGTCTGCTGGGAACCTATACAAGGCTTTCCTCACTTGATCCAGTGAGTCTGCTGGGATTCTAAACAAGGCATTTCTATCCAGATGCAGTGAGTATGTTGGAAACCTGAACGTGGCTTTCTCACCTGATCCAGTGACTCTGCTGGGATCCTAAACAAAGCATTTCTCTGCAGATCCAGTATGTCTGTTGGGTTCTTTACCAAGGCGTTTATCATGTGATCCGATGTATCTGGCAGATCCCTTACCAAGGTATTCTCACCTGATCCAGTGAGTCTGCTGGGACCCTAAAGGAGGCATTTCTTCACCAAAGCGTTTATTGTCTGATTCGAAGTGTATGGTTGGTTTCTTACTAAGGTATTCTCATATGATTCAGTGAGTATTCTGGGATCCTAAACAATACATTTATCTCCAGATTCACTGTGTCTGTTGGGTTCTTCATTAAGACGTTATCGTCTGATTCGAAGTGTCTGACGAGTTCTTTACCAATCATTTGGTATCTGATTTAGTGAGACAACAGACAGTACTATTATATTTGGTGTCTTTATTACTTTTTAATTATCTAGTACCGTCTTTATTACTTTATTAATTGTTAAGTAGTGTCTTTATTACTTTATTAATTGTTTGGTAGTGTCTTTATTACTTTATTAATTGTTTAGTAGTGTCTTTATTACTTTATTAATTGTTTAGTAGCGTCTTTATTGCTTTATTAATTGTTTGGTAGTGTCTTTATTACTTTACTAATTGTTTAGTAGTGTCTTTATTACTTTATTAATTGTTTAGTAGCGTCTTTATTACTTTATTAATTGTTAAGTAGTGTCTTTATTACTTTATTAATTATTTAGTAGTTTTCACTACCTTTTATTTATTTAGTAGTGTATTTATTACTTTATTAATTGTTTAGTAGTGTCTTTATTACTTTATTAATTGTTAATAGTATCTTTGCCATTTTATTTATTGTTTACTTGGGACTTTAGTTTTTGTAAGTAGCTTTAATCATAGTTCAGGAATAAAACTTTGTTTGTTTAGCAATGGCTTTTGAATATTTGTACAACGTTGTTGTTTGTTTGATAGTTGGTTTGGAATATTTGTACAATGTTGTTGTTTGTTTGATAAATGGTTTTTAATATTTGTACAATGTTGTTGTTTGCTTATTAGTTGGTTTGGAATATTTGTACAATGTTGTTGTTTGTTTGATAGTTGGTTTGGAATATTTGTACGATGTTGATGTTTGCATATTAGTTGGTTTGGAATATTTGTACGATGTTGTTGTTTGCTTATTAGTTGGTTTGGAATATTTGTACGATGTTGATGTTTGCATATTAGTTGGTTTGGAATATTTGTACGATGTTGTTGTTTGCTTATTAGTTGGTTTGGAATATTTGTACAATGACTTGGTTGGCAGTGGGTTTGCCGCTTTATTGGTGGTTTGGAAGTGGCTCTGGAATTATTTACAACAATGTTGTTTGTTTGATAATGGTTTTATCATTTTATTGGTTGTATAGTGAAGGCTCTGAAATATTTTTATAACGTTGCTGATTGTTTTGGCTGTGACGCTGTTGATTGTTTGGGAGTTTGTACACTGTTGTTGGTTACTAGGTGATGATTTCACCACATTAATCATTATTTATTAGCAAACGTATTCCTTGTTAGTAGTTAGTTTTATTTAAGAATACTAACACAACTCTTGATTATTTGGTAGTGGTTCATCACTTTAATGACGGTTTGTTAGAAGTGTCTTTATTATTATTTTTAATAGGTTGTTTAGGGCTATTTCCGCTGATTGTTTGATGGAGGTTTATTACATTAATCATTGTTAAGTTTTATTTTTGGAGTATAATTTGGTAATAACCTTAGTACTTTAATTATTTATTAATAGTGATCTTGTTTCTGCTTAATCGTTCAATAGATAAGTAATTGTTTTTAACCGTTTTAGTGAATTATCGAAGTATATTCATTTTGTTTCTTAATGTTTAGTTAGTAGTGGTTCTATTACGTTTTAGGGTAACGGTGTAATTTCTTCTTCCAGCGCTAGGTACGGACCAAAGGAGAACTAATTCCGACTTACAGGGGCCACGGTTTACCGACGAGCCACCAGGTGAAGTACTTTTTCTCAACACCACTGGCACAGTGGTCAGATGTAATTCTATTGGTCAACCGATACCGGAAGTGACATGGGTTTCACGGGATGGTCAGCCTGTGCTTCCTATTTCAAGAATCCGTGAAATCCGGTTAGATGGCTCTCTTGTGTTTTCGTCGTTTCGAGCCGACGAATATCTTAGAGACATTCACGATACAGTTTATAAGTGCACAGCGACAAATGCCGTTGGAACGATTGGAAGCCGAGATGTAAAAGTCAAAGGAGGTGGGTCATTCTTTATCCTAATAACTTGCATCCCTTCCTTTGTAATCTTCCAAACTACATGACATACATTCTAGAGATCTGCGTTTTTCCTTTGTTACTAGAATCTCTCTCTTAAATTATCGAAATGCTCTTTGAACTGTTTAACAAATTATAGCACATCAAAGAACGGAAATATGGTATAAATGATGTGATTTTCCTAATTTAATAAATTATAGCACATCAAAGAACGGAAATGTGGTATAAATGATGTCACTGCATTTTTTTAAACAAATTATAGCACGTCATAGAACGGAAATGTGGTATAAATGATGTGATTTTCCTAATTTAACAAATTATAGCACGTCAAAGAACGGAAATGTGGTATAAATGATGTGATTTTCATAATTTAATAAATTATAGCACGTCAAAAAACGGAAATGTGGTATAAATGATGTGATTTCCCTAATTTAACAAATTATAGCATATCAAAGAACGGAAATGTGGTATAAATGATGTGATTTCCCTAATTTAATAAATTATAGCACATCAAAAAACGGAAATGTGGTATAAATGATGTGATTTCCCTAATTTAATAAATTATAGCACATCAAAAAACGGAAATGTGGTATAAATGATGTGATTTATTATTTTTTTTAATTTTATTGATATCTATACCTTTAACATTCTGGTGTTTTTAATTTCTTCAAAAATACGTTTGATTTTTATATGTATTTTTATATGTATTTTTATATGTATTATCTATCATAACCTGGTACGATTACACCGAGATCCAAATACTAGTTTTATTCCAATCCTTAGGCGAACAGGACATTCATTTTTTGTTGTTGTTTTACATAAAATATTGTTACTTGAGCTTCTGAAAAGTTAAACATTAGTATAAACATAACAAGTCTCAGGTTTCAGTACCTTCAAACGACATATATAAACGTACATAGCTCACTAGAAATTCAATGTGTGTGTGTGGGCTTTCTTTCGGTGCCTTAAAACAAGTTGATGATTATATAAACGTACATAACTCACTAGAAATTCAATGTGTGTATGGACTTTTTTTCGGTACCTTAAAACAAGTTGATGATTATATAAACGTACATAACTCACTAGAAATTCAATGTGTGTATGGACTTTCTTTCGGTACCTTAAAACAAGTTGATGATTATATAAACGTACATAGCTCACTAGAAATTCAATGTGTGTGTGGTGGGCTTTCTTTCGGTGCCTTAAAACAAGTTGATGATTATATAAACGTTCATAACTCACTAGAAATTCAGTCTGTGTGTGTTGGGGGGGGGGGGGCTTTCTTTCAGTACCTTCAACCGAGTTGCCCATGCAGAATTAACTTCAATATAGTTGTTACTGATCTACTACACTCACTTTAACGGCAAACAGAATTATGTGAAATGTAAGTAAAATTACAGAATGTAACACTTAGGATTGAAATTGTTAAAACAATGTTGTAACTACGCTTACACAATGTCAGTCTTTTTTTTATACTATGTGGTGTGAAAACGGTTTATTTCGGGTTGAATACCAAATTAAAAAATATATAAATAAACAGACGAAGAATCAGTATTAAAACCATAAAAATTAGGATTTGTTGATATGATTAATGTCTTATGTGTTGTCTACTCAATGTGATGTGAAATTATAATATTTCACAAAACTGGTAAACGTTTTAATAATTTTCATACATAGTTACCATGATGTTTTACTTCATGATCCTGACAGGTAGGTAACCCTCATTGTATGTTAAATATTTTACTTATTTGTAGTAAATATAACTGGCTTATATATATATATATATATATATATTTGTTTTTATGTGGTAACCGTATAGAAAAAACAACAACAAGAAAGACGTTCACGTCTCAGAGACTTTAAAAAATTAGGAAGGAAGAAAGTATAATGTAAAATTCTGGACGTCTAGATCGATTCAAAGATATATACTACACATACAATCACTCTCTGAATTCGAAATCTTCTGCCATTTGACTTTAAAGTCAGTTTTTATTCTATATGTTCTAGAAAAGATTGTAATATGTATATCCAACCTCTTTGACTTTGAAATCTCATTCTGCTCTGTATTTTCTAGAATATGTTTTAAGGTGTACACACGTACGTTCAGTTTCCCGACGCTAAATCACATCAGTTCTATTCTGGATGTTCTAAAATATATTATAAGACGTACACGTACGTTCAGTTTGCCGACGCTAAATCACATCAGTTCTCTTCTGGATGTTCTAAAATAGATTATAAGACGTACACGTACGTTCAGTTCCCGACGCTAAATCACATCAGTTCTCTTCTGGATGTTCTAAAAGAGATTATAAGACGTACACGTACATTCAGTGTTTCTGATGTCAAAACAGTTCAGTTCAATCTAAGATGTCATCAGAGATTCTAAGATGCACATGCACGTTCAGGTTCCCGACGCTAAATCACATCAGTTCTATTCTGGATGTTCTAAAATATATTATAAGACGTACACGTACGTTCAGTTCCCGACGCTAAATCACATCAGTTCTATTTTGGATGTTCTAAAATATATTATAAGACGTACACGTACGTTCAGTTCCCGACGCTAAATCACATCAGTTCTGTTCTGGATGTTCTAAAATATATTATAAGACGTACATATACATTCAGTTTTTCTGACTTTAAAGACACCTTTTATTATGAAAATGGTTCGTAACGGCACGCCTTTTTCTCGTTCGTTTCACACATAAAAGAAACCCATAGTTATTGAGTCTGACATAAGAATTCTGAGGAGCCTATACTTTAGGAAGCTTTCAGGTATGATCCGATGTGTCAGGAACTGATTAAAAGCGTTCACAATAGTTCCTATAGAATCTTTTCTCCGGGAAGTTTCTTCTTCTTCTTCTTCTCTGAATCCGGTTTATCAATCGTAATTTGAAGTTGGGGAGTTTCTGGAATAGTTCTTTCAAATTCGATTTCTTTAACACCGAGCCAACGCAATAAGTTTATACGTACTTTTGAAGTTAAGCTAAGCGTTAGAAATGACCGAATATTTTAAATACCCGTGTACGTTTGATCTCGTTAGATGTGAGCACACTCCCATTTCGGCTTGACACATCCCTTTGGATGAGATCACCAAAACTGCAGTGACGCGATCGTTTTGATGAAATTAAATAGAAGGGGAGGCACAAATAAGTTTCTGAAAGTTACATGCAAAGCATTATTATCCCCCTTATCTTAAAAAAAAAAGGCGTCACTACTCGTAGAACATTGTCTGTTTCTTCATCTACATTGGACGGGCGGGACTTAGTGGTTATTGTGTTCGTAATATGAGATCTGTGAATTCATGTTTCGCGACTCATTGCCGAAATAATGCGCTTCGCTCTTTGGGATCGTTGGTGCACCATAAGAGTAACGGCTAAATCTGACTATTAAAAAAAAGATAGGCGAAAAGTTGGCGGTGTGTGCTGTTAACTAGTTGCCTTCTCGCTAGCTTATCAGATACTCCATGTGTAGCGTTGCACAACATTCTGAAACAAAGAAACAAAATGTATTTATTCTCCAGGCTCACAAACGAAATATTCTAACAAAGATTATTACACTGGGAAATAATACTGTTATTTTTTTATCGTAGTAAAGCACTTAATAAAATTCTTTATACGAAGTGCTCTTTCGGAAATACTTTGTTTTGTTTTGCTTTGTTTAATTTGCTGAATACGTATGTTTGAACATCAATAAGTAAGAGAAATGTGTTATACAACTTATAAACATAAACAATTTATACTGGAAAATAGTATTGTTATTTTTTATCGTAGTAAAGCACTTAATAAAATTCTTCATACGAAGTGCTCTTTCGGAAAAATTTTGTTTTGTTTTGCTTTGTTTAATTTACTGAATACGTATGTTTGAACATCAATAAGTAAGAGAAATGTGTTATACAACTTATAAACATAAACAATTTACACTAATCATGTGTTGGGCTAATAATATGTGAACAGTCTGCCCATGAAGAAGAAAGGTCCACCTTTCGAAAGGGTTTTTATTCATTTCTATCAAGACTTCTGGAACCTACGTGTATTTCTAACACCATGAATGAACAGTAAAACTATTAATGGTGAATGAGAGTACAAAAAAATGAATGTATACTTGAAAAAAAGAATAGAAATATATTTAAATTCGTAAGAAATTGAACAAATAACATTTGGTAGTTCTCTAACCATTCAATCAATAGTTGGTCATCGAAAATAGAACTGTATTTATATAAACACAACAGTACTGTCTGTTGTATGTCCATGTAACTACTTCGCAGGGTGTCGATGGATCTTCGCCAAATTTGGTATGGAGGTTCATTGGATCAATGGGGAGATACATACAAATTTTCAGTTTTGTATTTTGTGGTTTTTATGGGCGTTTTTGCCACTACTTCGCCCCCCCCCCCCGTTGGTGGATTTCCACCAAATTTGGCATGAAAGTTTGTTGGATCCATGCAGAGATCCATGTAAACATGCGGTTTCACAAGCAACTTTTCATGTCCCAAGATAACCTCTGATTAATCATGATTTTACATAACTTCCATCTAGGGGACTGGTACTCCAGCTAATTCAAAATATCGCAACTTCCGTCTAGGGGACTGGTACTCCAGCTAATTCAAAATATCGCAACTTCCGTCTAGGGGACTGGTACTCCAGCTAATTCAAAATATCGCAACTTCCGTCTAGGGGACTGGTACTCCAGCTAATTCAAAATATCGCAACTTCCGTCTAGGGGACTGGTACTCCAGCTAATTCAAAATATCGCGTTTTGATTGATTTTCTTCTGAAGACAATATTATGAAATAAATATATTTTTAGGTAAAGTCTAGCATATAAACCCACTTTTTTTTTAAAGAAAGAAAGTTTACATGTTAAGAATAGCTTTTGGTCAAAATGTTTATTTGGTAGTTTTCAAATAATTCAACTTTAACGTTACTAAATGAAATATTATCCCAAACAAATCTTTAAAAAAAAGGAATTTTACTTAATGTTTCT